ATGGCCTCTTGCATGGGCTCATCCTACATAGGATCCTCAGCACATTAGGATCCTTTGTTCTCAATCAATGCAGGGTGAGGATATGTCATATCACATTGATATGACTGAAAACAAAAATAATTATTTAGAAAACAATGCATCGGGCGATGACATGTCGATAAGAAAACACTCCTAGCTATTTGTTTTCCCTCATTTCACCGTTTAATTTTGGAATTCGAAGCTGCCGCAAGTTAACCCACGAACACTCTCTAGGGGTGGGGTGGGGGTTCTGCCCTCGTGTCAAACTTGCGAATGAATGGTCGTTGAGAGACGGGGGAAAACGGCAATCGGAAGTTCTCAATAAGACGGACCTTTGAAACTTTTTTTTGCGTAACTACTAGGTCGCAGGTCTGATCAAGTCAGGTCAGATCAATTCAGGTAAAACGGGTTGACAGGTTGACCGGTCCCGTAGCTCAGTTGGTAGAGCATCGGACTCCCGGTAGTGAGAGCCCGGGTTCGAGACTCTCCGGCGCTCGATATTTGAGACTCCTGACGGGGATGGTCTGCGGTTGGTGGGAGCGGCCGCAGCCAGTTGAAGTCAGTTGAGTGGGACAGGCCGTGTCCGGCTTTGAAGGGCGCGTTAAACTTTGGCATCTAAATTCTCCCGTAACCCGGAATTGCGCGATCGGACGGTGGGGGCCGGGGTCTACGCAACAAGCTCTGCTTAGCGTGGGCTCCGGCTCTGTCAATCCGTCCATTCAAACATTCGAGCTAAATTAAAAAAAAAAAAAACGGAACGTCTCATCCTCACTGGCTTTGGAGCCCAGTAGGCGAAGGATGGACTATGAGATTGATCACTTAAAACGCATCCTTGGTACACCAAACATGATGCATTACATACAATTTCATACAAAGGTCAATGTCAAGGACAGGTCAGGTCGCCAAAGACGAACGGTAGAAAATGATGTGCACGACACATGTTACCTATATATAAGCTATTTTACGCAATATAGCTGAATGGGCTTACTCAATTGGTGACATTAGCCACAGTTGGATGAAGTTGGGGTCGAGTTCAGTTCAAGGCCAGGTATGGCCAGGTCAAGTGAGGTCATATTTTGAAGTCGGTTGTTGAGACCAAAGAAGGTACTATCTACCAATCTGATGCAGTTTTTATGGCGAAGCGAATGGCGCTATTTTTGTTCCTGTACAAGGCATATACATAACGCTCCCAATTAAAAATGTGCATTGTGACATCAGTAAAATATGAATGAATTTATATTTTTAACCGATTCTTCTAAAACATTGGAATGCAGGTGCATAGATCGTACTTATCTAACATACATTCCGTTTTTATGAACTCCAAATTTTGGATTTTATAACGGCTCCCCCAAAAAATATTATTTCAGAAACAAATAACGTGAGTGAAATACAATTTTACAAAACGGGAGATAGCCATTTTTAACCCTCGCCGGCACAGGGTTGATGCACCCCCCTAAGGGTTTTCGCGAATAACTCGCGAATAACTCGCGAATCACTCGCGTAAAAAGCGGCCGATCGCGACGAAACTTTCAGTACCCTCGCATTGATCAATTTTACACCTACCCTGAAAATTTCATGACCCTGACCCAAATGACCTCTGACCTGTTCTCTTTTCCGGGACCATGTTTGGCCGGAATCGCGATTCGGCGTATGTCGGCTCGCATTAGCCGCGCATTTGCAAGCTTTTCGTGGTTTCAAACGTCCAAACATGTGATTTGATGTTGTTCCCATGCATTAGGGTGGGTGTCAAGGTCACTTGAAGGTCAGGCTCAGGTCAGGTCATTGACCTTTGGTGACCTCGGTTCACTTTTTCGAGTTTTACATGTTTCTAGGCTAGTTTTTGGAGCTGAATTCGAGTTTAGCAGCCATTTGAACATTTACGAAGTAGATTTGGTGCCTTCGTAACATATTATGAAGCTGTCAGAGGTGGATTACAGGTACTACGAATACCCGTGACGACCCCTACCGGTTGACCTGACCTGACCTGACCCGACCTGGTCTAAACGCTTAACATCATCTGTGATCAAAACTAACACGATATTCGTGATCAGCACCCCTTTTCGCGAAGCTCTAGCTACATCAGGGGCCAAAAGCGAGGGGATTCGTACCAACCCCCCCCCCTTGTGCCATCGAAGGACTCAAAATGACCTGTGCCGGCGAGAGTTATGACAAAGTAATACCACGCACACTTTTTGTTACCTACGTCTTGGTTTAGGAAAAAAGCAATGTTAGAGGCATGTAAAGTTCTACAGTTTTTAAAGCGGGTATTGTGTTACATGGCGTCATTAAAACGTCAGTTTCTCAAAAATTTCCGACGGATTTCGTGGAGCATGTTAAATTGATGTATGCGGGTAAGATACTGAAAGTTTAACCTCGCTGGCTTAACACGTTTGTACTTAAGAGGCTTTTGGCGAAAAACGGGAGGAGGAAGATTTTGCCCCGGGGGGGGGGGGGGGGGGGGCGTGGATTAATTATTCTGCATGTCTGCACAGTGGGCAGACATTATAAGAGTGTCAGACATGTTAAAATGCATGCCTTCTATAATCATCAAGTGTCAAAAATTTTCAATGTCCGCGATGGGGCGCACATAACGTACGTAAAGGGGGGTTATAACATTGACCTCGATCACACACTAGCGGCCCCAGCCGGGGCTGAAACGGCAGTCCAAAGCCAATATTGATGATCGAGTGTGTATTGCTTTCCATGCGCTGTTCTGAGCGTAATGGATATTAGATAGACATTCCAGTCATTTATTTCCTACAGTAGATAGTATCGACTTGATTATAAGTTTTAGCCTTTCATATGCAATCAAAGGGACATCATATAAGATATTAAACATGCCTTCCACATGAGTGACTGATCAATCATCATTCGGAAAGATTTATCCCAACTGGGCTGTTTTTGTTTGTCGATGGCGGGCATCCATGATATGACACAACTGAGATTCACAGTTGAGTAATGGCTCCGTGATGTGGGTTTAGTAAATTGTAATCAAAGTGCAAAAGTGTCAACGAAATCAGTGTCCACAGACGGATCTGAGCTTGTCAGGAACGAATAGTCAAAATGGCTATATGTATATCATATAGGCATTGCGCTGCCGTTTATAATTCCTTCAGGCCTTCATTCATCACCTTTTAGAATGTCTCAAAATGGCAGACTTCATTGCTCTACCTCTACTTGACAACTATACGCCACATAGCCTATACAGAAAACAATTACCTCAGCTGAAGGTAGCAGTACCTAGCTGGAGAGACGGCTAGCACCTGTAAGTTGCGACGATTTGTAGCATTATCTCGAATGATCGAAAATACGGCACTCCAAGAGCCCGAAGAGGTCAATCAACTTCTTAGCTCATCTGTGGCTCGTTTTTTCTTTTCTTTGGCACCAAATTTTCATCATCACACCATGCAAATGCAACTCATTCATCCCTGGAGTACATGAGCAATACGCTAAGCTTTCGGAGAGTGAGAACAGGAATGTTGTTTGGTGAAGTAAGGGCAAATTTCGAGCATTTAGGTACGTTCTCACATTTATGTGTTTTCACCCAATCTTGACCCTCGGACAGCACAAGAGTCCCTGTTACAACATTTTGTGGCAAGCATCTTGGCTTGGAGGGGTCAAACTCACCACTGTCTTTCGCATTCCGGGGAACTCACGAGTGAACCATACCGGGTAATTAGGTATAGTTTTCTTGACATTTATCGCAGACCTGTGGCTGTTTCTGTGCTGGTATCAATGATTTTTTGCTAGCTCCTATGGTCTAGAAAGTGCCCATTTGGGCGCTCTCTTTGGGCTCTCGTGTCCAGCAGGGCCGTCTAAGAGTTGGGCAGCCTGTTATAGGACTGGTCGCCGAGTGCGCCCTCGGCTCTGCCCTGGACTGGCCTGACGTCAGCGCCGGTATATCGACCCAGCGGGCCGGGAGGCCGCTGCCCCGCCGCTGCAGCAGCCACCAAGGTCACCGGCCGACCCGACCCGACGCGGCGGGCTGAGCCGTCGGCGCCGACACCGGCCAGCCGCGCACACCTGAGGTCCGGAACCACGCGAATCGGTGCAGCCCTCCGACGAAGGGTTTAGACGGTCGGGGTTTAAATCGGTCGCAGTTTCCAGCCGATCAGGTGGCTTGGGATCAATCAGGATCATTGTACGAAACGTCTGGGAAACTTTACAGCTATTCTGAGACTCTGAACATCGAGCTGATGCCGGCTTCATATAATCGGTAAAGGCGTGAAAGAAAGGTTTTACGCGTCACCATATCAGTGCTTATTGCGTAGTTTTCAGAAGCACATCAATAATGGGAGTGGCAAGAGAAAACAGTTCAGCGTATTGAGATGAATAAACAAAAAACGCATCCTCCACGCGGTGACGCATCAATTTTTTTTTTCTTGACTTATCGCATTTGAGTTGCGAGGCTACGAGTTTTCCAAATGCTGGATTTTTTTTCTTTTAGGTTCCATATAAGTACATCTTTTTAAACTTGCTTGTCCTTTTTGCCATTCTTAGTTAACAACGTTTTATAACATAAATGTTTCGTATTTTGTTATACATATATGATTTCTAATTTTAAAGTCACACCGCGGCGTGACTTTAAAATTCGATTCGACCGCGGCGTGCGCTCGAACATCCCACCACCGTTCGCTGGCCGTCCCTCGGTCGGTAGTCGCGCAGCCGCGCCGCCGTACTCCACGCGCCGCCGTGCTGCCGGCCGTGCTCCACCGCCGTGCCCTGTCCCGCACAACGCTGAACCGATGCCCTCCGCCGCCGATCCGCGCAGTAATTATAGCGGCTTGTCGACGGCTCTAAATAAAACGGGCTCCCAGGGCGGCCACTACCGCACAGCCGCTGCCAAACATCCAGGCTATATTTCGACTTCCAGAGTATTTCGAGAGCAATGTTTGAATTTAACCCAAGAACTAAGAAAAGATGTGCGCTGGGGGCCTATTTTCGCGAGGCGGCCGAGGCTGAGGTGATGTTAGTCTGAGCGCGGCCGGTCCGCGGGCGGCAGGTGCGGTCCTTCGGGACTGTGAGCGGAGAACACCGGACCCGCGGACCGCCCTGATCGCGGCGGTCACTGTCATAATGACAGACGCTGTCCGACGAGCGTGACGTGACAGGTGACAGTGATTGGGGAAAGGGATTTATATGGGAAAATTTAACAGTGACAGTGACAGTGGCAAGGATTTATACGGATAAATGTGAACTGTGACAGCGACAGTGGCAAGGATTTGTATCCAAATAGTGAGCGGCAGTAGTGACAGTGGTAAGGGATTTATGTGGAAAGTATGAAAGGTGACCGTGGTAGTGCATGATGTTAAGTTGAGTGCGAGGATGATGGTGTTGGTAGTAGCCCCAGGGCTAGCAGGTTGTGACAGTAAATATCCCGGTGAGTGTGACAGTGAGTGTAATTAATGGTGTGACAGGAGTTATGACAGTGAATATCACGGAAAGTGCGCTGGTAAATGTAGTGTGATTGCAAATAACCCGGTGAATGTCCTGCTAAATATCCTGGTGAATATCTTGATGTGCCTGCTATCTCTCGGTGAGACGGTAGTGCTGGTAAGTGTGACAACAGATCGGACGGAGAGTGCCAGCGAATATCCCGGTGAGTTATTTACAGCTATCAGCAAATATCCCAGTGGGTTGACGCTAAGTGTGTTAGCGAGCCACACAATGATGAATGCGTCTTTGAACGTGACGGCGAATGTGACTGTGAGTGCATCAGGAGTTCGACGGTCATGGCTGTGACAGGGTGTGACGATGGGCTGTGGCTGTGAGCTGTGACGGTGGCTATGGGCCGGTGGTGACACTGAATGTGACGGTAAGTGCCCAATCAGTTGAAAGGTGGCTGTGACGTTGGGCTGTGACGGTGAACGCGTCAGAGAATATGACGGTGGCTGCCCGCACCTGCACTGAAAACAAAATGACACAAAAAACGACTAAAAACGCACAGGCAGAGCGTGTTAACTAGGCTTTCTTGTGTACCCTGCATCATGCATTTTTTGACCCGTCGCAGACGTGTCAATTTACAAATGTGTTAACCCAGTCGTGTTGTGTCCTTAAACACAATATCATTGTGTCTTCAACACATAAGGCTTGTGTGAATACATTTGCAGAATAAAAGGTAAATGTGTTACTAAATTTAACACAAATCGCAAGTGAAAGAAGGAAACACGTGGTGATTATGTAGTTTGTTGCCGGGGCGCAGTTGAAGGGACTTTGGCTTGGGCTGAACAGGCTGACTGCCAAAGCCGGGCCCCGAGTGGAATCCGTGGAATCGGACGCTCGGGTGCGGTCAGGGCTGAGCACGCGGCCGGCCGACCCATACACGAGCTGAAGTTGCGTCCGGTCGGCCACTTCAGAGCCGAAGGGTGAACGCGTCACGTGGACGGCTCAATCAGAGCGCCAAGTGACGATGCCCCAAATTGGAGGACTACTGTACAATAATGTTGTCCAGTCATCCGGGATAAAATTACGGCCACCGATTTTTCAAATATATCCTATATAGACTGAGGAGTTTCTTCCTCCAAGCAGACGTTAATTAGCTATGCTTCAGCTTGCCCTTGATGTAATCAGCGCATATTGCTCTAAACAATTTATCATGTATCGACTCCCTCGGCTGTATTGTGCATTTTGACCTTTTTCAAAACACTTTGGGAAATTTTTACAAAAACCCAGCATAAAAGTCGGTGCTCGAAAAACGCCCTCTATTATCCCCATCTGAAGTTAAGGTTCAGAGGTCGCTCACTGGTGGATGACACGGTGTATTTGTGCAAGGGTACACGTCTACCATCCCCGACAACACATGATTTCGATACACTGATGCATTACATTCGTCCAGCGTGCTTGGCACGAGAAAACTGTGTCATTTTTCTGTTTTATGTGTTATCAAACGTGTCGAAGGTCCCGCCAAGCGTGAAAATACTCAGCATTATTGTGTTTTGGGTGCGATTAACACATGACTGATGTGTTACCAGTACAGAACATGCCCTCACTGTGTCGATTTGTTTTCAGTGTGATAGCCATGCAGTCTGGTGGTAGTGTTCGCCATCCCTGACTGCCGTCGCTCATCACCCACCTGTAAATGTCAGTAGTCGTCTGAACTCCCCAGCTCACCGACCGGTCCCCATTGGCTTGGGGACGCCCGAGCAGCGCAGCAGACGCCAACAGAAGGCCACCAACAGGAGAGCAGCAACCTGTAGCGCGTGCCGCGTGGTGCGGGCGTCGGTTGGCCACCGCCACGCTGACCCGATCCGTACATACAGATAGTCCTGGGCACAGCTCTCAGACGTGACACAGGGTCTTTGTATAACTTTGCTTCTTTTTCATTTTATTAGGTATATGCATTTTTAACCAGTGATGGAATTGTTCGTGAGGAAGATGGGCTAAAATGCCGCGAGAAGAACTGAGACTGTGCTGCCTCTATTGTAGCTCTTGCATTGCGTAGATAGAAGTCTAGTCACATGACCTGATTTGAGCCAGCCTCGCTTGCCGAAAAGCTGGCCTCTCGTCACCTCACCTCAGACGTCACATGACCCCATTCACCATATTTGTGCTCCACCTTTGTGCTAATTCACATTGATGTCTAATAAAGGCCTTGCAACAACACGTTTCTCTCCAAGTAGTTTAGTGCCTATTCCTCGTAAGACGGGAAATTGCAATGTCTTCCATTGAACTTTATGGGAATTAGAAACGTTCACGTAAAATAGTCTGACCAGTGACCGACACCATGCATAACATACAAATAACATATCTATTATCTATTTTTTCGTTCGCCTAAAAAATAGCTCGACTGGCATAGACCTTTGTATGCCCGGTCTATGTCGGTCTGTCTCTATACTGACTATACGGTCTATACCGAGGTCTATGCTCGAGGATACTAACACACAGTAAATTGTAATGTCGCATAAATGTACAATAAAATACATTGTCTCTTAAATCCCAAATGAGTGCAAGTGACGTATCGTTGGAGATTATTATATTTTCGGTCTTCAGGCCATCTAGAGTGATATCGTCGGTCGGCCGATAGCTGTACTCCACCGATGTCTATGTAGCTATGTGCCCTCGGGAGGCAATGGCCAGCATTAAAGGGACCCTCCCACCTTAACATTAGTTTTGAGTTGAGATAGCCAAATTGGTGGCCATGACCTGCAAATACCGGTTTGGACACTCACAACATCGAAAAATGCTTTAATTCGAAGATATGGAATTTCAAACTTGCAGTTTTCGGATTCTAAGGGGCTAATCCATTGGAATGCCCCCTTAGAATTTGTGACGTCAGCGGAGATCTAACGATTTTTAAATCTTAGACTAAAACCATCGTTAACACGTGGTGGTATACGCTGCTTTGCGCGCAACGTCTGCCGTACTTTAGGGCTGCCAAATTATTGCTTCCTATTAGTCGCTAGTAACAGGGGAGATCCCAAAAAGTAAACAAAAGTAAAAGCCTAATATCTTGAAAACCAGTGAATATTTTTCGGTGAAATTTGGTAGATATTCGTTTTCGCTCTTTCTGAACCAAGGGACATCACTTTCATGCCAATTCATTAACTTTTTTGAAGGTGGGAGGGTCCCTTTAACGTCACTTCTACATATATCACCAAGGTGCGGTCAGCGGTGCACTAAGCGGTTGCTGTAATCAAGCCCTTGGGTCATCCGGACCAGCTATGCTTGTGTGATGTGCACCACTTTTGATAAGAAAATTATGGTTAGCTATGCATCACGGAACTACACATTTCACGGGACCGCAACATCTCCCTTGAGTTGGCCCCCGGGCGGCAGCTTTCCACAGCTCCCGGCCCCGAGCTCCGCCGCGGGTCCGACTGCGCCCTGGTGACGTCACCGGCCGAGGCCCGCCCCCTGGCGGCTGGCCCCGCCCGTCGCCAGCTCAGGTGGTGCCCGGCCGCACCATACAAGGCCGGCCCCGTCGGCGGCGCCAGGTAACACGATCCGTCCAACATGGCCGGCAGGAGGCGGCACGGCGGAGGCTGGAGTGGACAGACGATGTCGCACGGGTACCAGCCGCTCCTGGCAGGCGCCGCGGCACACCCCGCCCGACCTCCCCCAGCGACCAGGGGAGGGGGCAGGTGCCAGCGACAAACATCGTCCGCCTGATGTTCCTCAGATGTTCGTCTAATAGCTCCTTCATGTCCGTCCAATGAACACCAATTGGTAATGCAATGTCCACTCAAAGCCCGTCAAATGGCCGTCCAATGTGTCTCCTTGTCCTTGTAATGCTCATTTAGAGCCTGTCCAATGACCGTCCAAAGTGTCTCCAATGCCCGTCCAAAATCCGTCTAATACTCTGCCCAATGCCCATTCAATGCCCGTTCAATAGAAATGTTCAACGACTCCAAGTCTTCCGTCCAAGCTCTTTCCTATGGGCTGGCCACCTGATAAATCTTGAATGTTCGCTCAAAGGCTGCCCGATAGGTATCGTTATTCGTTTGATGATATGTAGGTACAACGTGTAATTTTAATGTTAGTTCAATAAACGCACAAACCCGTCCAATTTCCATTGTCAAGGCCTGCCCCATGTGGGAGCAATTGTGTCCACTGTCCAGTGTGGGTAAAATTTAATGAATCATTCATTTCCAATGTCTATAGATATCCATTGGAAACGTACTGGATATACCTATCCAATATTTATCCAATGAATATGCAATATTGCAAGTAAAAACTCCTTTCAAATATCCGTCCAGGGTCCCTAAAATGTCCACCCAATGTTCGTCCGTATAATTCATCTGCTTAAAAATGACCTCGAAAATATTTAACATGTCACGGTGGATCAAAAAGTTAAATCTGTCGTCACAGTGCATCGTGGATTTTAAAGCAAACTGCACTCTGCAGGCTGAGATGCATGCGCTCTCATTGGATCTCATATCAAAAATAGGTATCATGCAGCCAACATAGTCGATCCTTGAACAAATACTTGACAACTGATCTTAGGTTAAATGGCTGACCTTTGACTCTGGATTTAATGGTTGACCCAGAACGGTTGACCGTTGACCTTAAGGTCAGATCTTGAGACACCTAACGCAACAGCTAAAAAAAGCTAACATCTCCTAACTCTTAAAGAACTGATAGCGAGGGCTAGATCAAAACAACAATCACATAAGCTTCACGACAAAAACTAATGGCTGGTTACCTGATCTAGGTGGAGTCCACAATAAAATATGCGGCAGGCTTAGAAACACTGCAAAACAATTCTCATATGTTTCAAATCGATCGCATTTCAATAGAAGTGCTTCACATCTAAAGCTGTGCCCGCCCATCATAAGCCCAAGTTTAGGCCCAGTGTAACAGCAATAAGCATGAGGATTGTATGCTGTATAAAGTCAAGCATTTGCTTTTTGTTGCCATAGGTACTGCAGGCGGAAGTTCAATCAATACCGTTAAGATAATTTATAACAGTTGACACATATGAGTAACCGATTAAGATTACTATCTACCACACAAAGTTGCCAATGCTCCTAATAGTGATATGTAATAGTTTCGTTATCGACTGACTATTTGCTGGAACGGATGATGAAGCAACGGCAGAAAAAGAAAGCAATTTCAGAGGAAAGACCCTCTATAATTAATTATGATTAATAAATAAATTATAGGATTTTACCTACCTACTACGATCATTACTCTTCGGCTCTGATTTCCCATTGAATATGATACCGTCTTTCATTTTTGTCCGAAACGATCCTGATTCGTACCTAAGCCTGGCACGGTGTTCCCCGATTCTGCGTTGCGTCTTGCGCGGCTCTATGCCGTCATTATCTCGACCTGCCTGCTACATCGCTGATTCTGGGCAGCAAACGAATGGCGGGCGGCGGCTCCCTCAGACAAAGCGACACGCAATGAGACTATATCTGGTATCCTGTTGTCGCCGATTGCCTGCAGTCTAATCAGTCGGCAGATGAGGTATAGAAAGGTGCGCGTGTTTCTGGACGCTCCGCCGGCCGTCTGGACAGATGAACGGCTGCTCCCCGGAGAGGAGGCGGGCCGGTGTAACACTACCCCAACGGCAGGCTGATGAGGGGGTGTGTGATTATGTCGCGGGGCTGCCCACTGCGGCGGCCACAGTGGACCGTGGCTGGCTCAGGTCGATCGGCCGCCGGCCTCCGATGATCGCGGCGCACGCCATGCGGTTCAGACCGGGCGCTGTGACCGCGCAGTAGTAAAGCCGTTCAGTGCGTAAAGGGTTCGGTGCCACGAGTCAGCCGCATTACGCCGCCGCATTACGCATTGTTACCGGCTACCGCCAACAACTATTTAAGCTATTTATCTGCACAACTTTGGTTACTAGCATCTTTATTCTATTCCTTATCTATATTTCCCTATAATGCTCTTTAGCTCCGTCTGTTCTGATCTGACGGATAGAGTCGCTCGGGTGTCCGTCACCCGGGTAACGGGTGACGCTCGGGTTGCTTTTGTGAGATTTATATTTGCAGCTGTAGGCATTGACATTAAACATCTTAGGAGGATTTTGTTCACAATCTAAAAAAAAAAAATGATTAGGTATCTATTTGAAAGTACATCAATGGGACTGCCAGAATACCCAGCCTGTGAGGCGCCGTACACAAATATTATGAAATAACTGCTTGGTAGTTGGTATTTAGTATGCCTTTACACATGCCGCTTTAGTTTCTTTTTTTGTTGGACCTATAGTTATAGTTATTTTCATGATTTGCCCTCGCCTGACCTAAACTGCGCTTAGAGCTTTGCAGAAGAGTGGGCGTATGCATATTTACGAAATGCAGCATCTTGCTTCCGATTTTACATAAGGCATCGGGCCATTTGGTGACCTTTGAGGTGAGATCAAAGACCTGAGGGAAGGAGCTCTCAGCTCACTTTTTAAAACAATATCGTCAAAATTGTTGCAGAATCACATAGCATATTTGGCACCATCGTATTCTTAATCCTCGCCCGCACATGTCATTTTCCCATCCTAGAACGCACATGGGGGGGGGGGGGGGTGCCACCCCCACGCCATTTCGTGCCTGTTGGAGGTAGAGCTTTTCAGTAAAGACCAACTTTTTTTTGGAAGAGACGAATCCAATGGTACCCAATTTTACCTCATTAGATCAACCATTAACCTTCCAGGTCAGGTCAATCTAAAAAGCTGCTTTTTGCGGCTGCAGCGTTGGAATATCGTGCGGTGCCCATCATTTACCGATGGCGCTGCCGTTTGTGGTGCCAAGCTTACTAGAACAGCTCTTTGTCACACTATCCGACTAGGTTTTTACCGGCTGAGGTCATTTCAGGTCAAGCTAGGTCAAGGTCAATGATATGTGTTTGTATGCCTGTGTGTGTCCGTGTGTATACTGATGTGTGCACTGATTGGTTTGTGTGTCCCTATTACATGAGATCATGATATGAGAATTTATCAAAAATGCAGTCAAAAAAACTTCACGAAAAGTAAATTCAGCAAGCCTAAAATGCAATGTTTTTAGATGACTTAAGACAGGTTGACTTTGACCCTGACCCTGACATCTGCACATCGTCGAATAACATGTTCCATGATAGGTGGGATGTAAGCCTAGCAAAAACATACCGAAATCAAGGTGTCAAAAGCTCACAAGACCCATAGGCCATAGCCAACGCAAGATATTG